GCCTATATCCCTCTAAACCCTTCCTACTCATCTACCCATCCAGTTGCCTTTTAAATGTTGTAATTGTACCAGCCTCCACCACTTCCTCTGGCAGCTCATTCCATATACACACCACCTCTGCGTGAAATGGTTGCCCCTTAATTCACTTTTAAATCTTTCCCCTTTCACCTTAAACCTCTAGTTTTGGACTCCCCTACCCTGACTTTGGCTATTCACCCCATCCATGCCCCTCATGATTTTATAAATCTCTATAAAGTCACCCCTCAGCCTCTGACACTGCAGAGAGAAAAGCCCCAGCATATTCAGTGTCTCCCTGTAGCTTAAACTCTGGCCACATCCTTGTAAATCTTTTCTGCGCCCTTTCAAGATTGACAACTGTGGCAAAGATCTAATGAGGGGAGGGAGGGGGAATGTGGTTTGTGGAGGGGGCAGTGTGTAAAAGGAATAGGTCATGACTTCTCATCACCTCCTCTGATTATTTTGACGCTGTTCAATGCAGTCTTGTAGGTCCAGAGATTTTCACCAAAAGGGGGCCACGATTTACATACGTCCGACTTACAAACCCTTTTACTTACGATCGTAATTCCATGTGTAGTTTGAAATTATAAAGACCCGAAGTACAAACATTTCCTGTACTTACATACAGCTGCTTTCCACTGTCCTGCATGGAGTTCCCACTTGCAGACAAATCGACGTGTGAACAGACTCCAGAATGGCACCTGCTCGCAAACCGGGGCCTTGGGTCTTTGGCAGGAGGAGCCCACTCCACGCACTCTCGAACAACCGGCTACAGGAGCAGCTCATTGATAACCATCGACAGTGGTGGTTAACTCCAGCCACAGCTGAACTCCCCATTTGCTTACTGAGGTTCAGTGCACTGCTGGGCCTACTAACTGAGTTATTCGGACCAGTGCCACATTTTGTTGCATGAGATAACAAGGTGTAGAGCTGGATGAACACAGCAGGCCAAGCAGCATCAGAGGAGCAGGATACAGCATACACCTCCTCCCACCCACCTTCCTGCAAAAATGCCATCCCCTATTCCCAATTCCTTCGCCTCCGCCGCATCTGCTGCCAGGATGAGGCATTCCACTCCCGTACATCTCAGATGTCGTCGTTTTTCAAGGACCGCAACTTCCCCCCCTCAGTGGTCGAGAACGCCCTCGACCGTGTCTCCCGCATTTCCCGCAACTCATCCCTCACACCCCCTCCCCGCAATAACAACCAAAACAGAATCCCCCTCATCCTCACATACCACCCCACCAACCTCCAGATCCAATGCATCATCCTCCGACACTTCCGCCATCTGCAATCCGACCCCACCACCAAAGACATTTTTCCCTCCCCACCCTTATCTGCTTTCCGGAGGGACCACTCTCTCCGTGACTCCCTTGTCCGCTCCACACTCCCCTCCAGCCCCACCACACCCGGCACTTTTCCCTGCAACCGCAAGAAGTGCTACACCTGCCCCTACACCTCCCCCCTCACCCCCATCCCAGGCCCCAAGAAGACTTTCCACATCAAGCAGATGTTCACTTGCACATCCGCTGTTCCCGTTGTGGCCTCCTCTACATCGGGGAAACCAAGCGGAGGCTTGGGGACCGCTTTGCAGAACACCTACGTTCGGTTCGCACTAAACAACTGCACCTCCCAGTCGCGAACCATTTCAACTCCCCCTCCCATTCCGCAGATGACATGTCCATCCTGGGCCTCCTGCAGTGCCACAACGATGCCACCCGAAGATTGCAGGAACAGCAACTCATATTCTGCTTGGGAACCCTGCAGCCCAATGGTATCAATGTGGACTTCACAAGCTTCAAAATCTCCCCTCCCCCTACCGCATCCCAAAACCAGCCCAGCTCGTCCCCGCCTCCCTAACCTGTCCTTCCTCCCACCTATCCCCTCCTCCCACCTCAAGCCCCAGCCCCATCTCCTAGCTACTAACCTCATCCCACCCCTTTGACCTGTCTGTCCTCCCTGGACTGACCTATCCCCTCCCTAACTCCCCACCTACACTCACCTTTACTGGCTCCATCCCCACCTTTTTGACCTGTCTGTTTCCTCTCCACCTACCTTCTCCTCTATCCATCTTCTATCGGCCTCCCCCTCTCTCCCTATTTATTTCAGAACCCCCTTCCCCTCCCCCATTTCTGAAGAAGGGTCTAGGCCCGAAACGTCAGCCTTCCTGCTCCTCTGATGCTGCTTGGCCTGCTGTGTTTATCCAGCTCTACACCTTGTTATCTCAGATTCTCCAGCATCTGCAGTTCCTACTATCTCTGAAACAATTTTAACTCCACATTTTGTTGCGTTGCCTGCAAACAATTGTTTCACTGTGTTTGACAAGCAGACAGATCTCCCTGGTGTCCTCAGAGGTCTGTCACCACCCGCCACCCCCCCACCATCACTTTACAACAGGGAGCACCTTTCGAAAAGAATCTTCAAAAGGTGCAAAGTGCTAATGGACCATCCCGATGTGTTGTATAAACATGAGCCCTCTGCTTACCTTAATTCCAAAGCAGCTGACAATCAACTATTTTACACGGATTATTGGGATTCCCGTCCTACATAGGAGGCCGTTCTCCGGCTGTCTGCGAACTTTCACAAAAGAAAAGGTCACTGGAAAACTGTCAATGCCCAAAGTGGACTAATTGCAGATCCCTCACATTGTAAAGAAAGCTTCTTAGGCTTACACTTCCCCCTAAAGTGTTTAAAGCTCACAGGCTTGAGTTCTAATAGCAGTGAGCTCCCATACTTTTGGTCAATCTAAAACTTGACCGTTCACGTGTGTTTCATTCTCCCCTCTCCCCTAAGGCTGTAAGAAAAAGGAACAGGAATGAGCCTGCTCCACCATGCAACAGGAACATGGCTGATCGCACATTCCTCATGTCCACTTGCCTGCCCTTTCCTTGTAACCCTTCAATCCCGGCTGACCAAGCATCTATATATCTCAGCCTTAAATATACACAAGGACTCTGCCCCACATCTCTCTGTGGTAAGGAATTCTGAAGACACACATCCTTCAGAGACAAAATTCCTCCTCATATCAGTCTTAACTTGGCACACCTTTATTTTGAAACTATGCACTCTGGTCCTAAACTCTCCCACTAGGGGAGATACCCTTTCAGTGCTCACCCTGTCAAGTCCCTTAAGAATCCTGTGTGTTTTGATGAGATCATCTCTCATTCTTCTAAACTCCAATGATTAGACTCCCAACCTGTTTAGCCATTGCTTATAAAAAAAAATCCCTCCATCCCAGGGGATCATTCTAATGAGCCTTCTCTGAACTGCCTCCAATGAAATAGTATCTTTCCTTAAATAAGGGGACCAAAACTACTCACAGTACTCCAGAGATAATAAGAACTGCTGATGCTGGAGTCAGGGATAACACAGAGTGGAGCTGGAGGAACACAGCAGGCCAGGGACTTTTCTGAAGAAGGGTCCCGACCCGAAACCTCAGCTTTCCTGCTCCTCTGATGCTGCCTGGCCTGCTTTGTTCCTCCAGCTCCACACTGTGTTATCACAGCACTCCAGATGTGGTCTCACCAGCACCTTGTACAGTTGCAGTAAGACTTGCCTACCGTTATACACCAACCCTCTTGGAATAAGGACCAACATTCCATTAACCTTCCTGGTCACCTGCTGAGCCTAGTGTGCTAGCTATCCCTGTTTAGTGCACAAGTTCCCCCAAGTCCTTTGTGTTGCAGCCTTCTGCAGCTTTTCTCCATTTAAACAATACTGTTCTCCCATGCAAAATGAACAACTCCATACTTTCCCGCATTCTACTTTATTTGCCCACTTTTTACCCACCTTACATGCCCCTACCTCCTCATTCCAGTGTAGGGGACCAACTCAAGTCAGTCTATCCCTGGAGGTTCCATTGGCGTACACCCCCAAGCCTGATAGACATAAAGCCTCTGTGGGTGATCCTGACTGAGGGGACACAGTTTCAGAATGGAGGGTTGCCCATTTAAAATACAGATGAGGAGCACTTCCTTCTGTCAGAGGGAATTAGCTTTCAGAAATCTCTCCCCTTGACAGCATGAGAAGGGGAAGTTCAATTTTTGATTAGCAGGAGAGTCAAGAGCGTTGGGGGACTGGCAGAGAAGTGGAGTTGAGATCACAAACAGATCATCCATCCATGATCTTCACGAATGGTGAAGAAAGGGTCGATGGACCGAACGGTCGACTCTTATACTTATTTATTATGAGAAGCTTTATTACGTGCTCAGGGAATTTTTCCCAGAGGGTCTAAGACAATGCTATTCTATTGGCAATCCTACCCAATATCTCAAAGTAGGAAGGTACCTTTGTACCGTCCTGGGCAGTGTCAGCACATTGTTCAACTGTTGAGGGGAGGGGGGATGTTGGGAAAAAGATGGGAACGTTCCCCACACAGACTGGCGTTAGCATCTCCTCAGAAAACAGCTCCAGCAATTGGAGATTTCTGCCGTGAGCAGCCTCGAGGACATAAAAGTGTAGTCGGGCACTTAAACAAGAAGTTAAGAACATTACTTGTTATTGAGTTACTCACTTTGTAATGCAGCGCTTGCTGAGAGGAAACACATGCTGTGGAAGCTTTTTAATCTTACTCCCATCAGGACAAATGCAAGAGTGCCAAATTTCTAAGGGAACAACATCTTATACTACAGGAGAAACTGGTTGCCAAGTTGCTTTTGGCTGACCCATTTAGCTCCTGTAGAATCAAATGTTTGAAATGGGATATTCTTGCATTTGTCCTGAAGATTGTAAGACAAAAAAAAGACTTCAGCAACATGTTGTGAAAAAATTGAAAATGGATTAAAAAATATTTCTCAACCAATTGGAGACAGGAGGTCATATGATCATAGAATCCCTACAGTGTGGGAGCTACCAGGTGCAGACTGCCCCTCCAAAGAGCATTCCACCCAGACACAAACCCCTACCCTATCTCTGTAACCCTGCATTTCCCATGGCAAACCCACCCAACCTGCACATCATTGGACACTATGGGCAATTTGGCATGGCCAATCCACCTGACCTGCATATCTTTGGACTTGGTGGGGGGAGGACCCAGAGGAAAGTCATGCAGACACAAGGGAGAATGTGCAAACTCCATGTGGACAATCGCACGAGAGTGGGTCCCTGACGCTGATGGGCAGCATTGCTAACCACTGAGCCGCTGTGCCACCTCAAATGAAACTTCAGAGTGGCAAGTGGCTTTCAGGTTGGCTTAGGACCAGGAGGAAGAGCCACACACTGGACTGAATCCTATCCAGATCCAGGAGCAGGATTGAGTGGGTGGAGGACAGAATTCAGGAACTCTTGTAGAGGAGGTCAAAATCAGATCAGTCTTAGAGATCAACTTATCGTTAACGAACATTATTTACATTAAAAACACTTGTAAATACATCATCATCTCCAACGTTGCACTCCGGATGAGAACAAAGTCTCTGAGTCAGCAGGACGGTGTCAACAGTTCACTTGCTTTGAGTTCCTTTTCTTCTCTTATCATCTTTCAGAGAAGGGGTCACGATGAGCGTGCGATGTTCAAATACTGAGAAGTCTCGTTATTGCAAAAGAAACTTCTCTTTCCCACAGGAAGGGAAGAGGGAAAGGAGCAGGTTGTTTGGTGAAAGCCATTCGGTCCGTTGCCTGATGTTAGCCCCTGCTGCAACTGCTTGTGCTGCTCCCAGTACCACTGCTGCCGCTGCTGCACCTGTCCTCGTAGATCGCAATCTCAATCTGGAGGGAAGCGGGTTCAGGAAAACAAAACACCATGGGCTGGGGTCGGGGGGGGGGGGGAGGAAGCGGCAGACAACTTGGGAAGGCTGTGCAGAGCCGCATGGCTTCATTAGGAAGGAAGAAATAACTGGGCACAAAAGCGAAGAAATTACATGAGACTGACTGGCTGAACAGCAAAGGGAAATTGGTAAATACTTGAAATAGGAAAACGTGTGGGGTTCTGGGTTAAAGACTGGGATGCATTAACTGGACAACTCTTCCGAAGAACTGTCACAGGCACAATGAACTAACCTGAAACACAGCATCATTACAGTGCTGGAGGTCATTCAAACCGTCATGTTTGCACTGGCTCTCCGAGCATTCTAACTTACTGCATTCTTCCTGGAGCCTTGCACATTATTTAAACACAATCATCCAAAGCTATCTTGTGTTTCCGTCAGTCTGGCTGACTGTAGAAAGGAATCACTTATATTTATGTATTTAGGGCCCTCACAGCCTGAGCACCACTCGAGAAAGTTCAGCACAAGACCCAGGTTGAAAGGTCAGCACAATGTTGAGGGAGTGCTGCAGTGTCATGGATGCGTGGAACATTTGAGGTGATGTATAAACAAGCGATTTTCAACTCGAGAAACTGCTCCTTGGGTCATTTGGGAGCTGACGCCATCTGTTCATTTTAACCAATACCATTGCTTTTGAGTTGGCAGTATCTGCTCCACTCACAACTGCACAAGTGTTCCATTTGACGAAAAAGAAACGTCTGAGTAAAGGAGACCCAAACCCTTTTCAGTGAGTTCACAACCTCATCCTCTCCCTCCGCAGATTTATTTACTCTCTTTCGAAGAGAGCGCCGTCATACTCAACCACTCCAGTTCCTCCAGTTCAACTTTCTAAAGTCAGGCTCCGAGATCCTCCCCAACGTCATGCCCACCATCCAACCCACAGTCCTAAAACTGGTCATCAGTCGGCTGTGTGTGGGATCTTTCTGTGCGATATCTGGCAGCCACGTTTCCTACATTGTATCACTTCAAAACGAGTACTTTTTAAATGCTTCAGGATATCGCAAGGTCACAAAGGTGCCATGGAAATGCAGGATCTTTTATTTAAGGTGTATTAAGATACTTCTGCCCTCTGAATATTCGTCTTGAGCTAATCCACAAGTCACTTACCTTTCGCAATGAAAACCCCTCCACCAGCCTTCCCAGCTATCTCAAAATCGACACACTTCTTCTTATGTGTCCTTCTCATTTTTTAAGACCCATTCCTTTTGACTGGGATCCATTGGCATTTGGAGGAAGCTGGTTGCTGGGGGAGGCAATGGCCTAGTGATACTGTTGCTGGTCTTATAAACCTAGATACTCAGGTATGGTGTTCTGGGGACCCAGGTTCAAATCCTACCGTGGCAGATGATGGTGGAATTTGAATTCAGCAAAAAAGAGTCTGGAACTGTTAGCCTAATGATGACCATGAATCCATTGTCAATAATGGCGAAAATAATGCCCTTTAGGGACGGAAACTGCCATCCTTACCCTGATCTGGCCTACATGTGACTCCAGACCCACAGCAATGTGGCTGACTCTTAACTGGGCAATAAGTGCTGGCCTATCCAGTGATGCCCTTATCATGTGAATGAATATGAATAAAAACTCTTTGAACTGCAAACTATGTGGTGGATCTCCGCAAAGTCACATTTTTCCAAAGCAATCCATCTTTGTACTTTTAAATCCTGACACTCTGAATCAAGGTCTCTTCTACCCCAGGGGATTAACATCTTGCTTATGGTGGCTAACTTCTTATAAAGCGCAAAAGGAGGGCGATGTGGGCCGGATAGCCTTGTAAATTGTTAATGGGACTGACAGAACTGAACGGGTGCCTCAGGAATCAGGAACAAGCCACAGTCTCATGATGAACACAAATGCAATCTCCGTATGTTGCTGAAATGGGGATATTACTTTCACATATTCAGCACAGAAAGAGGCCATTCAGCCCATAGGATCTACGCTGCTGTTTATGGGACACACGAGCCTCCTCCCACACCACCTCCTCCTCATCTCACCTTAACACATGCTTCTATTCGTTTCTCCCTCTTGTACTTAGCCAGTTCCCCCTCAGATGCATCGAAACTGTGGTTGCAAGTTCTACATTCTCACCAGTCTCTGGGTAAAATCCTTTTTCCTGAATCACTGATTGTGTCTATACGTGACAGGCATATATTGACAGTCTCCAGTTCCAGTTTCCTATCCCTGACAAGTGGAAATATCTTCTCTCTGTCTATACCTTTGGATCCCTTCAACTTCTTAAAGCTTCAGTCACCTCTCAGGCTTTTCCTCTCCAGATAAAAAGCTCAAACCTGTTCAGTCTTTCTGATGAGAGTACCCTCCAAGTTCTGGAAAATCTTTGTAAATCTTCATTTGCACCTCCATCAGAGCCTCAATATCCAATTTCCTTTGAAGAGAAAGAAGGGGTTCGATAAGGCAGGTGTAGGCGAAGGTGCTTCTACTTTGTGGAGCGATCCAAGACTAGGGTTAGCCACTTGATGAGGGAGTGGTCTGGATGACACACAGACACTGCAGAGGGATAATGACAGGTTTAAGCAAGAAGGCAGAAACTTGGCAGGTGGAATTTAATGTGGGAAAATTTGAGGTTACACACTTTGGCAAGAAGAATAGAGGAGCTGAATATTATTTAAATGGAGAAAGACTGTAGAACATGGCAGCACACAGGGATTTAGGAATCTGCGGATCTGTACAAACCACAAAAAGCCAGCATCCAAGTCCAGCAGATAATCAGGAAGACATGTGGAATTTTGGTCTTTATTCCAAAGGGAATGGAGTATGGAAATAGGGAAGTCTTACTAAAATTATACAAGGCACTGGTTATTCCACAACTGGAGTACAGTGAACAGTTTTGGCCCCTTTATCTAAGGAAAGGTATACTGGCAATGGAAGCAGTCCCAGAGAACATTCACTGAGTTGATCCCAGGTATGGGAGGGAGCACTTTACGAGGGGAGGTTGGTTAAGTTGTAAAAACCAAAGGAACTGCGGATGCTGTAAATCAGGAACAAAAACAAAGTTGTTGGAAAAGCTCAGTGGGTCAGGCAGCATCTGTGAAGGAGAAAACAGAGTTAACGTTTCGGGTCCAGTGACCCTTCCTCAGAACTCACTGTGTCCCACTGGAGTTTAGAAGAATGAGAGGAAACCTTATTGAATCCTACAAAGATTCTTCGGGGAATTGGCAGGGTAGAAGCGGAAACATTTTTAATCAGCAAGGCTTGTGGGGATAGAGTTGAGGGTTCAGTGATAATCTGATTGTATGGTGAAGCAGACTTGATGGGCTGAATGGCATACTTCTGATCCTGCATTTTACGGGTTCATAAACGTAAGGCACTCACTAATAAAGCCAACTGGTAGAGTCACAGAGTCAGACAGCATGAAAATGGGCCTTAGGGTCCAACTCGTCTATGACAAACAGGTTTCCTAAAATGCTCAAGTCTCATTTGCCTGCATAACCTTGTAGCCTTTCCTATTCATGTACCCATCCAGATGCCTTTTAAATGTTATAATTGTAACTGCACTTACCACTTCCTCAGGCAGCTCATTCCATACACACACTACCCTCTGCGTGAAAAAGTTACCCTTTTAAATCTTTCCCCTCACCTTAAACCTACGCCCTCTAGTTTTGGACTCCCCCACCCTGAAGAAAAGACTGCGGTTATTCACCTTATCTATGCCCCTCGTGCTTTTATAAATCTCTATAAGGTCACCCATCAGCTTTGGATGCTCCAGGGAAAAAAACAAATCACAGTCTATCCTTATTGCTCAAACCTTCCAATCTCACTACATCCTTTTAAATTTTTCGGCACCCTTTCTGGTTTAATAGCATCCTTCCTATAGCAGGGTGACCACAATTATACACAGTACTCCAAAAGAGGCCTCACCAACGTCTTGTGTAACCTCAACATGATATCCCAGCTCCTATACTGAATGGTCTGAACAACGAAGGCAAGAGTGCTAAACAGCTCCGGGAGAAGTTTCTTTCTGCAGAGGGTGGTGGGAATGTGGGGCACGCTATCACAGAGAATGATCCAGTTGAGAGGCACTGATACACTGAAACGGAGGAAAGTATAGTACATATGCCAATATAACTAGATCTGGAGTTCTCAAACTCTGGAGTGGGGCCACAGGGTCAAGATCTTGGGATCATAAAGTCTGAGGCAGCAATAGAATACGTGGAGCTCAGACTGCAATTTGACGGTTGTGAGATGCTTTTCAAAAGTCCATTGTCTGTGAGGGGGTGGTTTAATCATCGGTTCCTACTTCAGCCTCTTAAAGAGGTGGGCTACCCATCTTGTGGGGCACTCCCAGCTGTTTTAAAATATCCCCGCTCAACTCCCCCCTCCCTGCTCCCCACTGCCGCTCCCCCACCACTGCAGGTCACTCTGGGGTCTCACATCAAGTATGAAACTTTGGAAAAACAGTTTGGATTAGATGAAATAATACGAAGCGTAAACAGATCTGTTGAAGCCAAATGGCCTGTTTCAAAGCTGGAACATTAACATATTTACCCAGGGCTGCATGTGTTGAGCACTGCATGTGGGGTTCAATAGCATCAAACTCTGAAATAAACTCGTCAAAGGATACAACACGCAGCCCCCTCTCGATCGGATCCGTAATCAGCAATCCTCGGGGGGCATAGATTTTCTCATTTTGTTCCTGAATATATTTCGAAATCTTCTTCAAAACCTAAAACAAAAGAACAAAGAAGCAGGTAACTCTAGCAGCATGGGCACCACAAAGGCCATGAGACGTAGGAGTAGGCCATTCAGCCCATCAAGTCTGCTTTTCTATTCAATGAGATCATTACTGATCTGATCATCCTCAGCTCCACTTTCCTGCCTTTACTCCATAACCCTTGGTTTTCCTTTCTGATTAAAAGACAGACTTGTGAAGAGTGTCTATCTTTCTGAATCTTGCAAATTATAACCCCTTTGGCAAGTCATTGTAAGATTCAAATCTGTGTTCCCAGAGCATTTACTTGACCTCTGGATTACTAATATACAGCACCATCACCTCCACATCCACAGGTTAGGAAAGGCATCAGTGAACCATATCAAGGTGACACTGTGCCAAATTTGGGGTCCTGTCAGCTCAAGAGTTTCAGGTCTGCACGAGGAAAGAGTCCGGGGTAAAGGAGAAAACGTTTTTGTAATTTCTCAGTACTCTTGGCGAGTTATGAAATATGCTGCCTGAGAGCCAAACGGAAGCAAATTCAATGGTAATTTTTAAGAGAGAAATGGAGTGATACTTCAAAAAGGACAATTTGCAAAGTTGTAGGAGAATAGCAGGGGAGTGAACCAACTGGATAACGCTGTGGAAAAGCCAGCAGAGGTGCCATTGTCTAAAAGCTTTGGAGTTAAGGCAGGAAACCTTTAAAAAGTACAGGCGATCACCAGATTTCATTCTTTAGTTTTTCTGAAATTTCATTCACGGAATAAGGGCATTGCTAGGATTTGTTGCCCACCCAAGGACTACTCTCAGGCCCAAGTCGAAACACCTTTCCCTCATCCACCCTGTAGACTCCTCTTAGGATCTTCTATGTCTCAATAAGATTACTTATTATTCTTCTAAACATCTAAATTCTTCACAGAATCAGGAGCTCAGTCAGACAACAATCATAAAATTAATTTTAAAAAATGCATTTGGGCAAGTTACTCACGAAGTTGGTGCAAGAAGTAAATTAGGAGCAGTGGTCTGAAGAGGTTGGCGTAGTTAGAGTGGGGGATAGGGGTGCGGGTGGAGGATGGGTAGAGAGTATGTGAGGAAGGGATGGAATTCCAGAGTTGAGGACCTTGGCTCATGAAGGCAATTTGAGGAAGAAAGGGCAATGGAGTGGGCACAAGAGGCCAGAACTGGAAGAACAGTAGACTTTGTGGTGGACTGCAGGCCTGGAAGAGGTTGTGGAGATAACACAGAGTGTGGGGATATGGAGGGATACAGACATAAGGAATGAACATTTTAAATGGGCCAGATGGATGTCATTCCTATGAGATTCTTGATTGGGGTTGTTAATCTGGGCTGGCTGCAGATAGAAATTCAGGAGATTCAAAGAGTCTCCTCAGTCTAGGGACTGGCTCCGAGCCCATGTATAGCGCACATGTAAGGAAAGGGTGACTTGGTGACGGGATAACAGCCTCTGCGCAGTTATTTCAATAAACTTGAGACATTGATGGATTGAGAGCTAAGGCAGCGTTCTGAGAACGGAAACTGATATCTATGCTCATGTCTCTCTTTAGAAGAGAGAGATAAAGGCTGCAGCCTCACCAGACTGATCCCTGGGATGATAAGACTGATGTATGAAGACAGACTGGTTTGATTAGAACTATATTCATTGGAGTTTAGAAGAATGGAGGGTGGAGGGAGGAAACTCAGAGAAACCTTTAAAATTCTACAGGGCTAGACAGGTTAGATGCAGTTAGTTCTGAGGAAGGGTTACCGGACTGGAAACGTTAATTCTGATTTTTTTTTCTTCACAGATGCTGCCAGACCTTTTTTTGTGTTCCTGATTTACAGCATCCACAGTTCTTTTGGTTTTTATTTAGATGCAGGAAGGATGTTCCCAATGACCAGGGAGTACAGTACCAGGGCTCACAGTCTAAGGGTATGGAGTAGGCTATTTAGGACTGAGATGAGGAGAAATTTCTTCACCCAGAGGGTGGTGAACCTGTGGAATTCTCTGCTGCAGAAAGTGGTTGAAGGAAATAAAACATTGTGTTTTTAAGAGGGAACTGGCTATAGTTCTTGGGGCCAAAAGGATCAAAGGGTATGGGGAGGAAGTGTGAACAGGACACTGAATTGGATGATTAGACATGATCATATTGAATGGAAAAGCAGGCTTGAAGGGCTGAATGGCCTACTCTTGCACCTATTTTCTTTATTTATAAATCAATTGTTCTTTGTTCACTGTTGCAAGACCTGATCCGAGTGTTGCTCCAAATCCTGGACAGTGAGAATTCACAGAATCATCATAGAAACCCTACAGTGCAGAGGCAGGCCATTCGGTCTATTGAATCCACAATGACCCTCCAAAAAGTATCCCTCCCAGACCCACTTCATCCCTGTGACCCTGCACGCCCTATGGCCAATTCACCTAACTTGCGCATCCTTAGACTGTGGGAGAAAACTCACACAGACACAGGGATAATGTACAAACTCCACATAGACCATCGCTTGAGGTTGGAAGTGAACCCAGGGCCTTAGCACTGTGAGGCAGCATCACTCACCACTGAGCCACCATGCCACTCCCACCAATTCTTTTGATGCACTGGCACTGAAATTGCAGAACAGCTGCCTAAAGAAACCATCCATCTTGGATTAGGAGTGTAGACCCTAAAAGAGCATTTATCATTCAGCAACGAATACTGCAGAAGGACTTGTTGATACCGTGACATGAAATAGGGTGCTGGCTGCTTGTGTGACATCCAAATACCAGCACAGACCAGATGGGCTGAATGGCCTGTTTGCTCCGTAAATTCAAAGCAAGCATCAAGCCAGTTCCTTCTCCCTGTTCTTAAAAGCCCGATTGGCATTTCTGGAAAAAAAGTCTAATTGTTCTTAAATTTCAGCAGTACAATGTGTCAATTATATTTAATGTCTGAGAAATAAAATCAAATCTCGACTCCTCTCTAATTTTTCACCCTCTGAGCCAAGGTCTTCCCGATTAATCTACATCACATTTGGCTTCATCCTGGAATTAAAAAGGTACTTTTCAAAACAGAGGGAGTAAACGAGAAAGCGAGTTCCCATGTAGATTGTATTGCCATCAACAATGGTAGTCTGTTTCTTGCAGAAAGCTGAAACGTCGTAAAGGAGATCAAATGGGCTATTTTACACCCCCTGCCATGATCTCCTGGTGCCCAGGGTAGGTCACACTTTGCCAACATGCCTTCTCCAGTGACTGTTCATCAAAGTAACTGAAACAGCTCCAAGAATACCATCAGTAAGGAGCCGCTCAGCTGTGACTGCTGGCTAGCACGTCTTTCTCAAGAGTTTGGCTTCTTGCATTAGCGAAACCCATTGGATCAGAACTCGCCATCTCCAGTGGCCAGACATGAAGGATTCTGGTGACATGGCTGGACTGTGAGATACAGTAGTAGACATGACTAGACATCAAGCATTAAGTACCTACCCTCCTCTCTATCAAACACCAAGTCTCAAAACCAGTGTGCGGAGACTCTGTAAGTATGCTGCAAGCAGAAAGGAAGCTACAAGGGTGAATGGATAAGGGCAATGGCAGCAATCCACATTCAGCAAATGTTCCAATCACATAGGAACATGCCAATTAGAAGCAGGAGTAGGCCACTCGGCCCCTCGGGTCTGCTTTGCCATTCAGTAAGATCATGGCTGATCTGATTACTCTACATTTCCACCCACCTCTGATAACCTTTCACCCCTTGCTGAACCAAGAATCTATCTACCTCTGCCTTCAAAATATTCAAAGGCTCGACATCCACCACTTTTTTGAGGAAGACAGTGTCAAAGACTGATGACCCACTGTGAGAAAGAAAATTCTCCTCATCTTTGTTTTAAATAGGTGCCCCTTATTTTGAAACAGGGATCTCAAGTTTTTGATTCGCTCACAAGAGAAAACACCCTCTCCACATCCAAATTTTATGAAAGAAACTGCTTTTGTGGAATGGCGACCTTTCGTCCCAGCATCCAAAGGGGCAGTGAAACCTCTCTATCTCAGGGGTTGATTGTTGAATGTGCACTGGCTGCAATGCCAGGGGTAACAGATGTTTCTCCACAGATGCGGATACTGGGTAAAGACAGCCTCCATTTTAATGAAAATGTTTACTGTGCGTACAATGAGTATTTTAAACACAAGGAAACCTGAAAGAAGAAGGTAGCTAGTATCTGTACCTAAGGTGTTTTCAATGGACTGACATTGGGTTTATGCTGGCTCAGACTATCTAGAATCCACATTACTTTTTCAGACTGTTAATATAACTGATCTATATCTTGCTCAAAAAGATGGCATTCCCAATGTTTGACAGGGGAATATACTTAGTATACAATATTGAGTAAAGTATTTGGGAGGTCATGTTGCGGCTGTACAGGACATTGGTGAGGTCACCTTTGGAATACTGCACGCAATTCTGGTTGCTTTTCTGTAGGAAGGCTGTTGATAAACTTGAGAGGGTGCAGAGAAAATTTACAAGGATGTTGCTGGGGTTGGAGGGTTTGAGCGACAGGGACAGGCTGAATAGGCTGGGGCTATTTTCCCTGGAGTGTCAGAGGCTGAAGGGTCACCCTATTAGGGGTTTATAAAATCATGAGGGGCATGAATAGGGTGAATAGCCAAGGTCCTTTTTCCTAAGCTGGAAGAGTTCAAAACTAGAGGGAAAAGGTTTAAGGTGAGAGGGGAAGATTTAAAAAGGACCTGAATGGTAACTCATTCATGCAGCGGGTGATGCATGTCTGGAACGAGCTGCCAGCAGAAGTGGTGGAGACGGGTACAATTACAACATTTAAAAGGCACCTGGATGAGTACATGAATAGAAAGGGTTTAGAGGGATATGGGCCAAATGCTGGCAAATAGGACTAGGTCAGATTCAGATGGCTTGTCGGTGCAGATGAGTTGAACTAAAGGGTCTGATTCTGTGCAAAATGACTCCATGACTCTATATAGATAAGTTAAGTGAGTAGGCAAAGATCCTTAAAAAGGAATATTAAGTTAGAAAGTGTGAAGTTGTTCATTTTGGCAGGAACATAAAGGAATCATCTTATCTAAATAGTTTTTTTTCTATTCATTTCTGGGATGTGGGCATCGCTAGCTGTGCCCAGCATTTCTTGCCCGTCCCTAGTTGCCCTTGAGAAGGTGGTGAGCTGCCTTCTTGAACTGCTGCAGTCCTCCTGCTGTGGGTTGACCCACAATGCCATTAGGGAGGGAATTCCAGGATTCTGACCCAGTGACAGTGAAGGAACAGCGAGATATTTCCAAGTCAGGATGGGGAGTGGCTTGGAGGAGAACTTGAAGGTGGTTTTGTTCCCATATGTCTGCTGCCCTTGTCCTTTTAGATGGAAGTGGTTGTGGGTTTGAAAGGAGCAGTCTGAGAACCTTGGTGAACTTCTGCAGGGCATGTTGTAGATAGTACACACTGCTGCTACTGAGTGTTGGTGATGGAGGGAATGGATGCTTGTGGATGAGAGATGGCAAAGCTCTGAGATCCATGGGGATGTGGGTGTCTTTGTGCATGAATCATAAATGTTAATATACAGGTACACAAGTATTTAGAAAACTGACAAAATGCCAAATCCGGATCAAACTGATGACATTCCCTTTTCATTAGAACTCTACAACCACTAATCAATAGTTGAGTCTAATATTCAAAAGAGGGGACCAGATTGGTTAGAAAGAAAGCTGTGTTAAAGTGCTGAAAGACCACCAGCTAAACCAAAACTGCCTCATCTCGCTGATCTCACAGTCTACCTGCTCAGTCGCAAAACCTGTGTAAAACACATAGAGGTTTCTCAAAGTTCCTATGATACCTTTTCGTAACGGGTCTCCATACATATGAAGATGACGTAAGCCGTAATACAAGCCATGCAGCCTTCGAAATAGGATGTCCCACCGATTTTCTCCGCTTCCGCATAATAATTGTTTAAGGTCTTCACTGTTTCTTCAAAGTAGTGTCTTTCAACCTGAAATATCAACAAACAGAGAAAGAGAGTTGGAGAGGCTCAGTAACTCATGGTCCACGCTCTCCTTAGGCAAACATCAGCCACTGAGAAAATCAGGGGGCGGGGTGGGGGAGTTGGGGGGCACTCCCAGTGAGGATCCATGAGGATCATGTCCCTTCGATCTCGCTGAATGACTTCTCCTTTCACTGTCTGACCAACTGTGGAATCTACTGCCAGCAAGATAGAGTCCGAGCAGAAAATACGCACAGCACCCCTGCACCCACCCCCCCGAAATAGCTGCTCTTTAGCGACTCTATCAGATCCTTTAACCATCAAAGATGTCACTCCACCCTTGGACGGCAGGCAATGGGGTTAAAAGCTGAGGAGTTCTGCACTACCAGCGAGGAAACATGGTGTGCAGAGCTTTGTCTTAAGACTATATTTAATGCTGAAAAAAAAACAGATACCTGTCAAAGATTTTCATCTCTCACACTCATCAGGACAGACACACGAATGTCAAATCTCAAGGGAACAACAATTTATACTGCATTAGAAAAGGATGCTGAGTGGTTGTCAAAGCAATTTCTAATCAGTGGAGATTTGCCAAGGAGAATGTAACAAGGAACTTCTGCTCCCACACACTTTCGTTAAATTCAAAAATGGCATAATAACTGGACATGTTTCTTTTGTTTGTTGAGGAGAGGTCCCTGTGTGTGAATACGTGCAGCTCCTCCGATCCGCGCCTCACAAAATACGTGCAGCT